AAACATGGAAATAGGTTTGTTTTTTAAGAGGGACCATCTACTAGATGTACCTTCAGTCTATTTTAGTTCTTTTTCACCAACTTATTAAAACAAAGCTTTTACATTACTAGGACCAATCAAAAGTAGAGTATTTTTTATTTCTACCTCACCAAGACTTCCCCTCCTCCTAGAAGTAGTATAACTTGCCTGGTAGTGAGAAGATACCAGTTACATCAGTTTTCTTGCCTCCCCAAAATCAGACCTATGCTCTTACGCAAATCTTGTCTGTATTATCTGTATTAAATAACTGAAATACTACTATAAGTAGATGTTTTGGGGTGTCTATGGTAACCAGTTCCATATACTAGAATTTTCCAGTCTTTATCCTAAGACAAATTGAAATGGTAGTGTTTAAAGGTCACTTTTCTTTAAGGAAAATAAGTGAAAATGGGAAGATAATTGACAAGTGAGCAGTTTTTTTCATAAGCAGAATGCAGCATTATCTGCCCTTTAACCCACTTTTCTGAATTAAAAACAAATCAGACAGTTCAGGAATATGTTAGAAAGGTGGGCACAGGAGAAAAGAATAAATGTCTTGATAGTAAGGGAAAGAGTGGGAGAGAAAGTAATGTAGAGAAATGTTAAATAATTGAGATGGGGACATACAGAACAAATAGGGGTGCTGTTGGGATTAAACATGAGCACATAATCTGATGAAGTCAAGCCAAGATGTAGCACAACTAAATTTTCTAGTTCAAATATTATTCAAAAATAATTTTAGTTTTCTTAAAAAGGATTAGGTTGGTTTTTTAAAAATTTTTTATGTAAGTGGAAACTTCATTTCCTAGTAATGTCAGCTAATTTAATGTTGTAAGAGAAAGACAAGTATTTTTTATCAGAAGGAAGTTTTATCCTGCATGTCCCTTAACAGTATTTATTAAATGCTGCATGTGTATGGTGTTAGGTAAAGTGTTAGTATAAAATGTACCTTTTTTCTTTTTCATTAAAATATTGCAAACAAAAGCTTGTTCACTGTTTATGTACTATATAGCTTCAGGAAACTCAAACTTACGTGGTCTGTGCCTTTGTGCATAGTAATATTGACAGTTCAGGACCTAATAATAAGCTAAATTGCTTCTGTCTTTCCACTCATAAATGAATACACACACACTTTTAAAGGTTACTTCAGAAGTATTTGTAAAGATAACCAAGAACCTGTCCCGATAAATTTAGGGTGATGGGACACCTGACCCAGAAAGCTAAGTAGATTATTTTGAACACTAAAAAAATGAATAATTGCAGAGAGCATTTTTCTGAAGATACTTGGTGGAAACAAATGGGTTTCACTTCAACTCAAATAAGTCAAGGCCCAAAGCAGGCGAAAGTTTAGTCTTAAGAAAGTTGCCCAACACTTAACTAGAGACCCCAAAGGACTGTATCACTACAATTAAACCTGCTCCCCTTGCTCCAGATTCCAATGGACTATAGAAAAAGTTACCAAGGAATTGGGCAGACTACAAAATGAAAAGGAAAGGGTGTGAAACACATCCCTGAGTTGTGACCATTGACCAGCTTCTTGTAGATTTATGTCCTGATTATTCCTAAATCAGGTTGGTCAAGGAATCAGTGAATTTGGTTTTGGAAGTACACTCCATGATACTAGCAGAAACAAATATAAAACATCTCTGAAATAGGGCATGTTCATCCTAACCTCAGCAAATCAGTTCCCGTAAACCATTTTCAAGGGCAACAACCACTGTCAAAAATATTCACGGTACACAAGGGAACATGACAGAGAAAACCAACTGGGAGGAAAAACAAACAGCAGAAATAAATTGGCATCACTATTTGGCATAGTTTTAACAGATATAGAATAAATTTGTTTACTATGTTTAACAAACCAGTTTCAGTAGTTGCAAAGAGTAATAAGCTGTAAAGATTGAGATAACATATTAGAGGGAAAAGACCAAATAGGACTTTTAGAAAAGAAAGAAAAATAACCAAACAAAAATCTTGGTCAGCATTTTGGCATCAGATTGACCTTAGCAGAATAAAGGATTTATGAGTCTTTTAGAATTAGAAGAAATCTGCTTATTGCACACAGGAAAACTGTACTAATCAAAGTTCTTTAGGAAGACAATGAACTGTATATACATAGGTATCTAGAAGAGACTTAATAGGAGCAGTTCACTCAGGATTATGGCAGCTATAAAGTCTGTAGTATGCCAGCTGGACTCCCAAGGAAACCTGAGCACTTGGGGTGATTGGTATTAATCCCAGTCCCAATCCATAGGCCAGAGAAGCAGGAGCACTAAAGTCTAAAGTTGATAAATAAAATTAGTCATTACAGAGACAAGAGTGGTAAAACTGCAGTGTGGAGAAAAGGGTAAAGACAATACAAACTTTGGTTTGATGAATGTCTAAAAGAAGAAACAATGTCTGAATTATACAGATTTGATGAAAGATATCCTTCTATATATTAGAAACCAGCAAATCCCAAATCTGAATAATAAAAAACGTAGAGTATAAGCTTTTTAAAATCAGTATTACCTTCAGAAGAAATCTGACTTGATAATTAGCATCAGAAACCAGTGAGAGAATATCCTCAGTGTGCTGAATGAAAATAACTTAATCTGGTTGTCTACATAGTGAAAAATATCTTTCAGAAGTGAAAGTATACTAAGGAAATTTTCAAAGGAAACAGTTCAGCAGATCATTACTAAATTAAGAATGGACTTCAGGCAGAAATGAGCACAGGTGAAGGACTAATATAGAAGAAATGAAGAGCAAAGAGGTAAACATGAGAACAGATGTAAATAAACAATACTTGTATCAAAAATTAATGTCTTGTTTCTATCAAAACTAAAGTAAAATATCATAATAATGTCAGTTGCAAAATGGAAGTATGTGGGAAATGGAGGAATTAAGGTGATTCTTAAAGTGTATATTATAGGGAAAAGTAACAGTTTTGTTTGCCTTTGGACTTTGATAAGTTTGAGTCTATTTCTAAAGTAGCTAGTAAGAATAAGAAAAAGTACATGACTTCCAGACTAAAAGAATGGGAGAGACCGAATGATTATTATCACATTCATTCAACAAGCTGATTGTAAAAATGTCTAGAGAAATTCGAGGGACCAAGAATAACCAAAATGTTTAGGAAGAAAATCAACAAGGTGAGAAAAGTTGCTTTACCTGATAATAAGATTTATTATAAAGCTGTGGTAACTGCAGATTGGCATTAATACAAGTCCAGGCAAGTAGAAATAGGCAAATAGAAACAGGTTTATGCATTTGTATACTATTGATATATGATTGAAATGAACACTGCAGAGCAGAGAAGAAAAAACACTTTTCAGTCAGTTGCAAAAATCAACTCTAGGTGGATTAAAGAAAAAACCTAAATGTCAAGGGTAAAACAAATCTTTCGTGAGATAACCTGAAAGATAAAGATTTTTAAAAAGATGCAACCATAAAGATTGAATAAATTGAAATTAAAAATTTTTTGGTTATCAAAAGAAACCAAAACAAGCCATGGAAGAGGAAAAAATATTTGTAATGTATCTAACAAATAACTTGTTTCTAAAATATGAAAAAAAACAAAAGGACAATAACAAGACTTCAACAGGCATTTCACAAAAGAGGCATTCAGTAGAAGTGCAGAAAAGAGCTCAACCTCAGTAGTAGTAAGGGAAATGAAACAAGCTACAAGAACTATTGCTACACACTCTTCAAATTGGCAGAATTTTTAAAAATCCAACAATAAGAATGGATGAGAAAGTGGAAGAACATGACTTCCATATTGTTGGTAATGTAAATTCAGTGGAATCACTTTGTAAAAAAGTCAAAGATCTATATATATAGTATGACCCGGCTATTCTTCCATGTTGGGTAACCTAGAATAAACTGTTATATGCCCATTAAGTTACTTGTACAAGAATATTCACAGCAATGTTGTTCATATTAGCCTGAAACTAAGTGAAATGGATAAATTAATACTGTACAGCAACTGTTTGAATTTCACACATGAAACAACATGGATGAGTCTATAGTATTGAAGGAAAGAAGCAAGATACAATGTGACGTGTGATTTCTATTTATATAAAGTTTGCAACAAGACAACACAAATTGCTATTTATAATGAAGGGGGCAGGCTTTCTCTTAAAGGGCATAATAGTAAATATTTTAGACTTAGTTACCACAGACCTCTGTTGCAAAAGCTACTCCCCTCTGCCCCTGTAATGTGAAAACAACAGTGTATAGACTGTTCCAGTAGGAGCCAGCTTCCAGTTTATGGGTACATGGCAGTTGAGATAAAATTATTTTTAAAAGACAAGAAAGGTGGGCCCTCCTGGTGGTGCAACAGGTTAAAGTGCAACACTGTGAAGTTAGCCGCAGCTGCTAAAGCACAAGTTGGCAGACCTTGCCTGTCTTGCCCTCAACAGTGTTTTTTGTCAGTCTTCCTGTTCCCCATTCTATCCCTGTTCTGCTCCCCACTCTTGTCTCTGGTGAATCCTCTCACTGCCCCTGCATCTTTGGCCTGTATGCATAAATAAGTAAATCTTTAAAAAAAGAAAAGGATAACCATAAAAGACAGGAATAATGGTTATCTCTTAAGAAGAGAAGGATTTGTGATCAGGGAAGGGTAAATGAGACATCTAAGATTCTGGTGATGTTTTAGTAGAACATCTGCACAGAAATTGTATAGTGGGTTGTGTATCACAATAAAACAAGTTTTTAAAGTTTTTCAGTGCTTAAGTTGTGGTTATAAAACTTAATTTTATGTGAATTTGTTTTGTTTACATTTGAATTGCTCTGCTTGTTTCTGAAATTTGAAGACTCCTAAAAGAATTTCAACCATAATATAATGCCAGTAAAAATAAAATATAGAATATTACTACTTCAGTTTAATGTAATTTGATACATATATTAGATAATCTGAGTTTGAGGCATGGAGCTACAACTTGCAGTTACTACTATATTTTTTTATACCAAAGTATTAACAGCTGTTCTTTTATTCACAGGCTCTGTAGATGAAGGTGTTACCGAAGGGTTGCCTACACTTCAGAGCACTTCTGCCACGAATGCTCATGCCGATGATGATGATCGGTTAGTACCAACATAGTATGTGGTTTTCTTGTGATGGCTGTCCTTGCAACTCTTAATTCAAGCATTTTATATGGGGATTATATAAGAAGCTTATTGGGGGCTTCCCTGGTGGCACAGTGGTTAAGTCTCAGTGCCATCAAGCTATTGACAGCCACTGTGGCGTAAGTTCAATCCCCAGCCAAGGAGCTAACCCACATGGCACAGCAGACCTCTCCTGTCTCATCTGCTGCTCCCTTCAGCAGTGTGTTTCAGTAGATCTGCCTGTTCTGCTCCCCACTCTGTCTCTGGTGAATCCTCTCACCACCCCACACCCCAGGTCTATACCCCAGTTCTTTATACATTCATAAATATTTAAAAAAGAAAAATGTATTGGGGCCCCACTTCAACAATTTTCAGTTGAGATAGCATTACCACATAATAAATTAGACTACCTACAAAAGGATATTTTTGAACATTTCCAAAACTACCAAGTCCTCCACTTTAAATAGTATCAGAAATAGCATCTTTACTTGTAAATCAAGTTTTATTGGAATAGTCATAAACATTTGTTTCCATATTGTCCATTGATGGCAAAATTGATCATGTGGTGTGCAAAGTCAAAAATATTTGCTGGCTGACCTGCTGTAGAAAAAGCTTGTCAAATCCCCTTCACTATACCCAGAACTTTCAAGTTAAAGTTTTTCAGTTGACCTCCCTGCTACATAGATGTGGAAGAGGCATTTGAGAGTTAACATGGTCAAGACCTAACTATAGATTTCTAACTCCCTTCAGAGACAAGTCCTGCAGTCTTGCCCATCTTAGTAAACAGCAACATCACCACAACTTCTCAAGCAATATCTCTGGGGATAATTTTATATTCTCTTTTCCATCACCACCCCATTCTCCTATTTAATTCTTGAGCAGTACTTGTCAGCTCTACTTATGTCTCCAGAAAACATCCCTTATCAGTCCACTTTTACTTCATCTCTGCTATAATCAGACCCTAAGTCAAAACTTTGGGCCTTTGCTTTGACTAACACAGTAAGCTTTCAACTAAATCATGATTTCATTCTCTTTTATTACATTCTTGACATGGCAGCCAGAATAATCTCTTCTTATGGTCAGGTTATGTTGCTCTAAGCAGTAGATTATTAAAATTTTCCAATAAGTTCATATCTAAATTTTCTATGCCTCTTTTAAATCAAATTTTATTGATTTGCCAATCATTTACATAATTATAAATATTAGCATGTTCACATGCTTCACTCACCCTCCACTGAAGTTCTCCGTGAGGATCCATTGTCACATCCCCAATCTCCTCCTCCCTCCCTTCTCCACCTCTTTCTTATGCCTTTTTTTTTTTTTTAAAGATTTATTTATGCATACAGAACTGGGGTATCTGCCAGGGGTATCTGACAGTGAGAGGATTTACCAGAGACAGAGTGGGGAACATAACCAGCATATCAGCGAAGTACACTGCTGAGGGGAGCAGTAGGCAGATCAGGAGAGATCTGCCATACCATGTGGATCACCTTCAGGGCAGGTGGGGGGGAGGATCAAACTGGCACTGAAGTGGCCACCACCAATATGCTCCAACCCACTGTGCCATCAGTGAGGTCCCCTATACCTTTTAAAGTACTGCATGATACAACTTCTGTCACACTCTGTTCAGACCTTTCTCCTTGCACTCTACAGTCTAACAATATTGACCCTGGAATATGTCATGTCTGTTCATACTTTGGGTCTTTTCTGCCACTTTAGAATCTTTACTCTGCCTGAAAAATGCTGTCACTCCCGATTTTCACATTGATATCTCTCCTTCTTGACCTCTAGTTCACTTTTTAAATGTCAATTTTCAAGAAAGCTTTTCCTGACTACCAGTCTAAAATAAAGCAGCACTAATCTCACTCTGCAATCATCATGTATTAATTCTTTGTTCTGATAATTTTCCTGGGCATTTATTGACTGATCACTGAGTATAGACCCCACTGAGTGAATGAACTTCTCGTAGAGTATGCAGACCTAAAAATTGTACTTGTTGAAGGATTTGAAGGATTAAAAGAATTTAAATGAGACTAGTTCTTAAATAGGTGTCTCTGGAAGAATAGGTAATTTTAATAAAATGTCAGTCATTTGAACAAATTAAAGTTTAAACGAAAAGAAATGTACTACATTCCTTCATTTCAAATAATAATGAGTTTGTCTGTTCCATACACAATACTGTCTAAATGGTGGAAATAATACAGATGAAATGTCTAGCCCTTCCCAATTTGGGGAATATCCATTTTGGGGAAAGGGAGAAGGTTTGAAGCTAGACAAGTAAACAGATAATTATGAGTGATTTGCAGATAGTTCTCATTCTGCATAGGAGGTTACTTATGCAGGGAGATGACATATTAGTTACACTTCATAAAATAGATAGTTGTTAGATAGACAATCAATGTAGACAAGTAGAAGTTAAATATACGAAATGTATGTATAGATAAGGAGGACCTGCCTACTACAGGGTATGTTGGGGGTAGCACAAGAAATGAGACTGTAAAAGAACCCAGAATCCAGATCATGAAGAGTCTTACATGCCTTACAAAGGGGGTTAGACTTTAACCATTGTGGATTTTAAATGGGGGATCATCTTTAATCAAAAGTCACTGTGAAATGATGGATTTGTTTGGTAGCAGAGGAGGGAGTTGCTCTTTCTGCCTTGCACTGATGCGTGAGGGCCTAAATTACAGAAGTAGTAGAAAAGAAAGGATCAGAGAAATTGATTTTAATATGTTCTATGGTTAAACATCTTTGAATATTAAGATGTAAACCAAGAGTTGTTTAAAAAGACATTGTGTTTTTTCTTTTGCTCATTTAAAGTTGTGCAGAAATGTTTATTCAACTTAAAAATCAGAGCCTGGTTGCCTTCTTTGGTCTGTTTTTTTTTTTTTAGATTGGAAAATGTTCAGTATCCCTACCAACTCTACATTGCTCCTTCTACCAGCAGTACAGAACGACCAAGTCCAAATGGTCCTGATAGACCTTTTCAATGTCCAACTTGTGGGGTGCGATTCACCCGTATTCAGAACCTAAAACAGCACATGCTCATCCACTCAGGTAATGTCATCCTCCCTGTTATTGTATAAATAAGTACTGTAAAGGATTATTATAGCTTTCCAGGTAGATACAGAAAATGGATATTTGAGTTTAAAGAAAGTATGTAAGGAAGTCAAATGAAAACAGATAAGTCTCAGGTATATTGCTGAAATGGTACCATGTCAGAATGCTGTTTAATACATTGCTGTGTTCTGATTAAAACTTGCAGAGGGAATATATGTAATAATAAATTAGGACCCTCCCTGGTGGCACAGTGGGTTAAAGCACAGCACTATGACATTATCACAACCACTGCAGCTCGAGTCAATCCCAGCCAAGGAAATGACCCACATGGCACAGCAGACCTCTTCTGACCCTCCCGTTGCTCCCCTCAGCAGTGTATTTCAGTAAAGATCTGCCTGTTCTGCTCACCACTCTGTCTCTGGTGAATCCTCTTACCCCCCCCCCACACCTGTCCCCGCCCCCCCCATCTCTGGCCTATACCCCAATTCTGTATGCATAAATAAATTTTTAAAAATAACAGTCAAGAGGGCCCTCCCTGGTGGTGCAGCAGGTTAAAGCACTGCACTAAGAAGCTGAAGCCACTTCCGCATGAGTTCAATCCCCGCCTGCCCCGGAGGAGATCCACATGGCGTGGCAGACTTCTCTTGGCCCACCCGCTGCTCCCCTCAGCAGTATACTGCATTGATCTGCCTGTTCTGCTCCCCACTCTGTCTCTGGTGAATCCTCTCACCCTCCGCATCTCTGGCCTGTACCCCAGATCTGTGTAAATGAATAAATAAATCTTTAAAAAAGAAAAAAAATAATAACAGTAAAGATACTGGATATATTAGGTTTGTGTGTATATGAAAGAGAAGAACAAAAACAGATTATAAAGCAAATGAAGTTAAAAGGTACATATTAGTGTTCTTTGTACTATTCTATAACTTGCCCTTCAGTTTGAATTTATTTCATAATGCATTAGTTTTAAAAATTTAATGAGTCCTCCTGGGAGGCCTCGGGATTAAGTCTTAGAGCTATCAATCCTGACAGCCCGAGTTCTATTCCTCGTCAGGGAGGTAACCCACAAATGGCACAGCAGACCTCTCCTGTCCTACCTGCTCTGCTCCCCACTCTTGTCTCTTGTGAACCCCTTCACCCCTGGATCTCTGGCCTGTACCCAGTTCTTCTGTGCAAAAATAAAATATTTTTAAAGTATTTAATGGAAATTTTAGTTCTTAAATCCTAAATTTCTCCTTGCCCTGATTCAGTCGGCTTTGTAGTGCTTTTTGTTTTGGATTTTTTTGTTTTGTTTTGTTTTGTTTTGTCTTTTTTTAAAGTATAAAAGAGATTTTGGACAGATGATATATATATAATACATTTGAAACTTCAGTTCAGTGATTACATAAAGAGAACAAAACACTGGTGGGTAAAGTACTAACCTCTAATGAAAAGGAATGTTTGCTACTATTTTTCAGCAGTATTACCTCACTTTTCTGTACATAGGGCTTATGATCCCAGACCTAAAACCAATTCCCTTTGACTTTGTTAAACCAACAGGTTGTATTTCAAAGGTTTTTAATTCTTTTTGCCAAGAATGCATTGGAGAGGATTATTAAGTCATATTGATTTCTGCATATTTTCTATCACTATTACGTTATATACTCAAAAACCCAATTCAAGTAATAGTTCTTTCATTATAATTATATTCAGAGATGCTAAAGTTTTCCTTTTTTCCTTCTCTTTTTTCTGAGGTAGGAAAAATGATTTCATCTTTTTTAAAATAGAGATTAGCTTGTTTTAAGTAGTGGTTAAATTATCTTTTGAAATGTATAAAACAAGAGTATTCAAAAATCAACTCAAGTGTAAGCTGCCTAGTTTACTCTTTACTGTTGTCTTTCCTGTCCTACCTAACTCCGTTTCTAAGCAGTAGTTACTTTTACCTTTCTGACATTTTTGCTGGCAGCTTTTGTCTTCTGAAATTTTTGCTGGCAGCTTTTGCTTTTCAGATTTTCTGTTGGAGCAAAATTACAGTGAAAAACTCGAGAGATTTATGACTTACCAGTTTACTTTGTTTTATTTCATAGGAATTAAACCATTTCAGTGTGACCGCTGTGGGAAAAAGTTCACCAGGGCATACTCGCTAAAGATGCATCGCCTAAAGCATGAAGGTAAACGCTGTTTCCGGTGCCAGATATGTAGTGCCACTTTCACTTCCTTCGGGGAATATAAACACCACATGAGGGTTTCCCGGCACATTATCCGCAAGCCTCGGATTTACGAGTGCAAAACATGTGGCGCCATGTTCACCAACTCTGGGAATTTAATCGTGCACCTGAGGAGTCTGAACCATGAAGCGTCAGAGCTAGCAAACTACTTCCAGAGCAGGTGAGGTGCACAACGAAAACCCACCCAGGAAAACTTCTTTCTAAACTCTCTTCTCCTGCTTTTAGGGCAGCCTGCTGTGTTTTTTTTATCAGGTTGCCAGCTAATCAGTCACATTCCTTATAAATTCCCACTGTCATACTCTGATCTCCTGATCTGATAAAATTTTGTGGAATCTTCTAAGTATATAGAATTATAAATATTTTTATAGCTCGTTTTAGAATCTTTTCCTACAGAAGTAGACTACTTGCCCTCTTCGTATTGCTTTAATAATTCAGGGTTAAAGAATTCCATAATGGATCTTAACTAGACCTCATTGGAAAATTTACCATGTCAGGTGATATTTAATGATACTGGATTACATCACTCTGTGGAAGTTAATAAAATTCTTTTTAGCATGTGCTGTAATGGGTATAATTATTTAGATCAAATGAAGGATTCCTTTTCCTTTATTTTAGAGCTCCATGTTTTTAATCTCATTTTAATTTTGATAGTTTTTTTCTGATTTATCCAGGAAGATCAGGTTCTAGTTCTAGCTTTGCCACTGATGATTACGATAACTGATTTTATCACTTTACAGATGACGAAACTTAAAGAAAGATAAATGTTAGCTTTCCAGGTGATTTTTTAAGGTTTCTTTGAGATATAAAATTCTCTTTTCTGGGCCCTCCCTGGTGGCACAGCGGGTTAAAGCACTGCATTGAGAATCTAAAGCCGCTTCCGCATGAGTTCAATTCCCGCCTGCCCCGGAGGTGACCACATGGCGCGGCAGACCTCTCCTGACCCGCCCACTGCTCCCCTCAGCAGTGTACTTCGTCGATCTGCCTGTTCTGTTCCCCACTCTGTCTCTGGTGAAGCCTCTCACCGCCCCTAAGCCTCTAGCCTGTACCCCAGTCTGTATGAACAAATAAATCTTAAAAAAAAAAAAATTCTCTTTTCTTTTTAAAAAGATTTACTTATTTATGTATATAAGAGCTGGGGTATAGGCCGGAGGTGGGGAGTGAGAGAATTCATCAGAGACAGTATGAGGAGCAGAACAAGCAGATCTATTGAAACTTATACTGCTGAGGGGAGCAACAGGAGAGACAGGAGAGGCCTGCTGCCATGTGAGTCAGCTCCCTGGCCACGGCTTGAACTTGTGCTATAGTAGCTGCCTGTAGCTTCATAGTGCAGACATAACTCCTTGCTTCACCAGGGAGGCCCCTGTTGTCTTTTAATACTTTATCGGAGTAATACCTACGTTGGAACCCTTAGTTTCTTTCGTAAAATGAAGCCTTTGTAAACTTTTGAATTTAAACCATTTTTATTTTTTAAATCTTACTTTTAAATAAATCCAAAATTACTCCTGCATAGATTTTGTTTTTCTCTTCAAACTAGACATTCGTTTTGTTTAAGCATCCCTAACTCTGAGCATCTCTGTCAAATCACTAAACCCAGTTCATGCATATTTCAAACATTGTTTCAGACTAGGATAAATGTCCTATGTAAGCACTCCTATTGTTTGTATCTTCCATTTCTACACTTCTCTTGTCGAACGCAGTAAGCAGATTTTAATTTTACCAATCAACTATAAATACTGATTATAAAATTTATTACATAAGTAGAGTATTTAAGACATTCAGTATCAATAAATTACGTTCTGAGGATTGATAAATAACCAGTCTTCCAGCATTCATTCCTAAAATCTGATTCAAAGGTAAATTAATTACTGTTTTTATACTTAAAAGTTAATACCAGAATACACATAAATTATTCTTTTACATTTCTCTAGAAAGTAGATTATAAGGTAATTTGTGTATAAAGGTTTAACATATCCAAGAATTAATAAAAAGTTAAGTTTATGTATCTTAGTGTGTAACCCAAGGAAGGTTAAATATGTAAGTTATTTAAATGAGCATGCTAATTATATTTGTTTTGTATACAGAAATGTCTACATAGAACGAGAAAGGCTACTTCATTGTCCAGATAACACTGAGGGTGATAATTAATATTACCTATTATTGGTAGGGAAACTGATTTTAATGGTTTATATGGTTTACATTAGGAAATTGTAGAAGTTGTAAATCCCCGAGTTAAAATCTTCAAGAATTGGGGAAAGACAAATCCCAATATTTTTTTTACAAATCAGGTGTTTTGTTGTGTCTTATTATTGGTTTGAAAATTAACTTTCTGTTTCATCCTTTATTCTTATCTAGTGATTTCCTAGTACCGGACTACTTAAACCAGGAGCAAGAAGAAACCCTTGTTCAATATGATCTTGGAGAACACAGTTTTGAAAGCAACTCCTCTGTTCAAATGCCTGTAATTTCACAGGTCTCCTCAACCCAAAATTGTGAAAGCACTTTTCCTTTGGGGTCTCTTGGTGGGCTGGCAGAAAAAGAGGAAGAAATGCCAGAGCAGCCAAAGACCACTGCTTGTGCAGAGGCAACCAGAGATGATCCCCCCAAATCAGAGTTGTCTTCTATAACTATTGAGTAATTTCATGGTTGGGCTTCATTTTTGGTTTTAGAAAGTGCCTGTGCTTGTTCTTGTACATTAAGTTTAATTTATAATTTTTTTAAAGAAAAAAGGGTTTGGGAAGAATGTCCCTTTTTACTCTGTAAACCCTGCATCTGAAGTTGTATTTTTCATGACTGACAGATTGATTTTGTAAGTACACAATAACATAATGTTGAAACAGTAGAAATTATGAAATTTAAGGAGAACCAGATGACTTAATATATTTATCAGTTTCTCCTTCCATTGTTAAAAGTATGCTAACAATAGATCATTAGACAAAGAAGAAATCAGATAATTATTGGCCTTCCTGAGTTGAAAGGTTATACCAGAAACAAATTACTAAACAGAATCTGACAAATAACTTGGGTAGGTATTTGCTTCTATACACAGGACATTGTACAGTATTTTATAAAGCCTATTGTTTTGGACCGTATTTATGGTAAGCTTTCTTAAAAAATTATTAGGACAAATATTTCTGGAATTCAGTGTGCTCTTTTTTTTTTTAAGCTTTTTAATTTCTATTATGATTTTTTTGTGGTGAAAATTGGTATTGAGATAAGCATTTCCTGTACCTTTATAGTACTCTTCCTCCAAATAATCTCTCTTCTATGAAAGAAGGCAAAGAACCATGATTGAGAATAGTCAAACTGCATGAAATGGCCAGACATGGAATATGAAGTATGTTAATTCCCACTTCATGAGAGTTTTTTAATGCTGCTTTTCTGACTAAAATTATTGTTTGCCTGGTCTTTAAATGTTAATGACTGGCTAATTATAGGTCATTTCTATAAGTGATTCCTAAATTAGTTTTCTTTTTGCCCCATCAACAGTAGTTTCTATTGCATACTTTGGTGTATTACCTGTAAAGGAAAAATACTGGATATAGTCTATATTTTATATATAGGTTTATGGATTGTTAGGGATGATTTTATTGTGCTGTTTTGGACAAAATAAAGAATTCTCTGTTAAAGCTACATTAAGATCGTTTAAAAAATTCCATATGACAACCTATACATGGCCCATTTTCCAAAATAATTTTAGATATTGCTAGGTTTATTAAAGCAGTTGGTTTATTTTTACATAATGTAAGCAACAGTGTAAAAGATTAGAAGACCATAAAATGATCTATGATTCATAAATTTAGGGGGAAAAAAAGAATTGTTAAGAAATGCTAAAAATCTTATCGCCTCTTACTGCTAAAAAAAAAATCCTGACTTATAGTTGAAATTTCTATGATATTCTAGACTGGAGTATACATTTCATCTGGTGCCCTTAGAGCATCACTGATCTTGATCTTTAATATTCATGAGTACATGAACAATGAACTTTTGAGTAACTCTGTGTATATACCCAAAATTTAGTAATTATGAAAGTACTGTGATTAACATTAGGGTAAAAAAGAAACAATGTAGTTTCTTATTTAAAACAAGATTAAAACTTCATCTAGGTGCTAAATTTCAATAAATTATATTTTTAAGTTATAATAATTTTTTTACTTGGCTAACTCTATATTCTCCCCACCATGTAACTTATGAAAGTTACAGAAAGACAGAACTTTAGTCTCTTTCCACGTTGTTATCTTCAACCTGTTTGCAGCTCCTTGTCTCACTGATGAAACTAGTTTTTTTCCCCTTTGCTCCCAAACATATACTGGTTATGATGGGTTTCCATCATTTATGCCTCTTTACAAATAGGTTTGAATTATTGTCTGTAACAGACTGTGATACCTCTGGTAACAGTACTGTTGTGTCTCAACTGAAAAGGTCAAGAATCTTTATTTTTAATGTCATATATTCTCTGAAAATTGTTATGCCTACCATTAATGTAAAGCTAATTTTAAAAGCCTTATATGGTTTAGATAGACAATAAGAAAAATTATGACCTGGAGTAATTGTTGCCCTCAGTAATAAGAGTTATTTAATTAAAATATGAAAGGAAAGCAGAAATTAAGTATCATTTGGGAATTTGTTGGTTGAAAATGTTTTAGCACACTCCCCTTTCTAAGAACTCTACAGTAAGAGAGCCCTGCACAATTTTGGCAGCTCTGAGGTATTGTATTCTTAGAATGTAAGGTTAAGCTACAGGCATTTCTTTCCCAAATGGAAATTTTAGGTTTTCTTTGATTATTACAAATTGTACAGATTTCCAAGTTTAAGAAATGTGAAAATGCTTATTATTACATGGTTAGTTGTTGACTCCTCAAATCCTATCACTACAGGTAATTAGTATTTAACATAAAATGATTGCCCTTTTTTTCCTTTCAGTGAAGTTTTTTTTTCTTGTTACGCAGTTTAAGGACATTTAGCTTATGAATCTGTTTTAGGAAACTAAGCTGCAAAGGTAATTGTATATAGTGTTACTTAGATTTATTTAAAGTTCATCTAAAAGAGGGATGCCTGGATATATAATTTTTCCATATATTCTATATGGAAAACATTGCAAAGAGATGAAAACCAGTTACGTTATTCCACCCATTAGAAATTGCCAATATTATTCGACTTAAAAGAAATTTTCATCTTAAAGTACTTAAGCATAGATCTCTTTCTTATGGCCCAAGAGGGTAACTGTTGATATTTAAAGGGCTTAAATTTCAGGATGCAGGATAAGTTGCCTTTTTAGAACCAAGTATTTTATATAAGAAAAGGATTTATTTTCAACTTGTAAGCTACCAAATAGGTGTGATAATACTTTAGAAATGAGCAAAGGTGTTCATTATGATACTGGATATCACAGCTCCTAACTCATTCTTTGAATTTGTAAGAATGTAACTCACAGTGGGAGTATCTAGCATGTCAGTGATTGTACTAATTCAGAAACAGGGGTGATAATGGAATGGACTTTTTTTTCCTTCAGATTTTAAGTTTTCTATAAATGGATGCAGATCGAGGTTAGCACCCACAAATACCTTAATTTGAATTTCAAGTAATCCTTTTAGTTTTTGTTTGAACTATAAATAGCCAGTTCTTAAAGGTATCAGTTTTAGTGAGATAAAGTACTAAAGCATTTTAGTAACCTCTTGCAGTCTTGGCAACCTTTCTGGCTTGACATTAATTCATTCCATGTTGTGACATACACCCTTTGGTTTATAAGAAAAAGAAAAACTTCCATTTTGTTAGAACATTTTAATAAATGGAGTAGACTAGTCAGCACATGTGATGTGCTTATCATTCATTGGTAACTACTGAGCCAGATTCTCCTGATGAATAAATGGTTCCCTGAAGCCTTTGTTAACTGTATTAACTCTTTCAGTTTATCTCTTGACTTTCATACTTAATCTAAATAGAAATCAATTCATCTAGTTTAGTGGCTCTTATTTTGAAAATTCTCAGATCATATTTTAATCCTGTTGACTTTGTGGTCCCTGGAAAATACATTACTATATAATGTAATGGCAATTCTGCACTAGGAGACCACATGGAGTGAATTATTCTTATTACTTGACAAATGAACAGCCCTAAAATTGTAATATTTTAACTGAATTTAGATTTGAGCAACTGATGAAGAATCAGAAAGTTTTATACTCCACTTATTCTATTTTCTTTCATCTGCAAAATGTGAAGTTGTAAGTTCAGAAATACACATCCAAGTGAGAGAATAGTTTTCTAATCAATATTGGGGGGGGGGGCCTAGAAGGTTTGCATTCAGAAGTGATCCAGAGTTGGTAAAAGGCAGTAAGTGTGGTTTTCACTGTAAGTTATTGACATATAAGATGCTTTATTTATAATATATATTTAGATTTTGAAAGTTACTGAGAGAAGAATATAGAAACTAGACTTTTCTGAAGCAGTGAAACAATGGGGGAATTCTAGTATATCTAAGATATTTATAATGATATTCCTACAACTAAAAGCATTCTAGGCTACAATGGTTAAAATTTAAGTTATGCCTATTTGCCTGTATGCATTTTTTATCTTTGTGTCATTTTTGCTTGGCAGAATATGGTGACATAGGTTATTTTTATTTGTAAAATTCTCAGCAAGACATTTCTCAAAAGCAATAATGGTTAAGATTAAACATTGATGTGGATATTGAACTAGTTTCCAGGTTCAACTAAGAAACTCTGGATTTCATATTCAGATTTAAAATATTTTGAGTTTTTGAGTAGGGAATTGCCTATATCAGATTATGGGATAAGGACTTAGTGACATCACAGTTGTATTTTCCCCCCTACTTCATATTAAACTAATACTGGTAGATATTTTCACTAAATCTTAGTGATAATATTTTTGTGATAGAAAAAAAATAGCTCAGTTTTTTAATAGTCACTGAAGAGATGTCAGGTGATGTAACTGGAATATTGTTTTGGCAGTATCCAAAAAATGAGACTGCCTTAAAGTGTTCGTGCTACTTTTAGTTAAGTAAGCTCCCTCTATAGGATCCAGGCAAACTCCAACTAACCCCAAGATTCCTGAATAGATAAGTTTATAAAGACCATTGATTAAAAACAAGTACTTTTCCAAAAAAAGTGTTTAAAATGTAAAAAAAAAAAAATTTTTTTCAGTTTGAAGTGCCTGGTTTATGAAGTCAAGTTTTGATTATTGCCTTTCTCTTTTAAATTGACTAGCGTTGCTAATCAAGCTTAAAACCCTGAGCTCAATTGTGATGATTTATTGATAAAATTGCTGCTTGATGGCTTGAGGGGCTAAAATGTCATGACCTCATTGAATTGTCTTTGTTTTCCTAAAAGCTGGGCTAACCATGTTCAAATATCACTATTCAGTTAAACAAGTTAAAAACCATTCTGTAAATGAGTGTTCAGGTTACCAAAGTACATCACCTGTTGAGGAAGGCGGAATCTTCCCTGCTTTCAGAGGAGCCAGCCATCTCTTAACACATGCGTTTCCCTAGCTGTTGGTGGAAGCTGTGTTCATTTAAGGAAGGGAAGCCCTTCCTGCAGTTGCTAGCAACACATTTTCCAAGGAGAACCTTTCTGTGATCAGGTTATATGTATGTCTTCTCAAGAGTTTTATTTCAATTATCAATTTAAGTTGACATGTATGTAAAGTCTCTCATACTGAGAGTAGTCCATTAAATTATTGAAAGTTGCACTGTTTTTTCATCTTTCAGGTGCCTGAAATAAATGGCCATCAGGTATTTGCAAGGAGTAAGATCATACTTTATTCATTTTCTTCCTTGTATAAATGATGGCTTCTAATGCTTATATTTCAAGGTGTTTTTTTTAAAAGCAAGAGCCCCTTACAGAGTGAAATTTGGTTTCAATCCAAGTCCTTGATTTTTCTGTCATTGCTGGTGCCTCCCTCGGCATCAGATAAGATTGCCTGCCTCTTTGTAGGGCACCCTGTGGCACCTTATGTCCAGTCGGAGGATAGTAGATGGCTTCTTTGTGCCTCTACTATCTTTTCAAAAGCCATTTTATAAAAATCCTAGGTAGCCTATTTTAATATTTAAATATATATATTTGTGAGAGATACTTTTAGAACAGTTTTTTTGTTTGTTTGTTTGTTTTTTTTACTTTACAATTCCTATATTCCCATTTTTAAGAGTAAATTTAAGCTCTCCAATTAGGACTTGTCTTTCCCACAACAACATGATAAGTAAGTCAGATTGAGATGATAATAAACCATAACTCAGTGAGAGAAGAAACCAATGTCTGGTTGAAAGAGACAGATGTAAAGGGAGAAATTGTGTTGGTGTAACATGCATTTTTAAATAACATTGTTTTTGTTTCTATAATTTTTCATTTGCTGCTACAGTGCTCATTTTTGGATTTCACAGAGGTGAATAAACCTGGCTCCATTTAAAAACTGGAGTACTTCTTAGTACAACCTAGGAGGAAACTGCCCCACAGTCTTCCAAATGGGTGATGGACTCTTTGTTTAGCTGATGCATGCTTTAATGTTGCCTGTAGCCCTACTGAGAAAGGTTGGGGAAAACTTTTTTAACCTTGTTTGTTAGAGCAGTATGATTATTTTTGGGCACTGGCATTTTGTAAACCCCCCTGGGGAAGGGTAGTTTTGGGGAGGAAGCGTGAACTAAACTATGTAGGTGGGTGTTGTTATGTCTTCTACCCCTCTCCTAGAACCAATACAACTCTTAACTATGCCACCCTAGCCCACCAGCTTTGTATCCAGTTGTCATCTCATTCAAGTATGGCTTTACTTGGTGACAGTGGCAATAGCTACGTTACTTGGCATGTTTGACTTTCAACAATAACAGGTTTTGGATTTTGTTTCATTTCCTAAAACTGTATACAATATCAGAACTTCACATTTTATATACTAGTACCTGGCTATTAGTATTTTACAGGAACCATAGTTCTTGGTGATTACATATATATATATATTTTTGTGACTTTTGTAAACTAAGTGCCGTTTCAACGTTACAATCATTTTTAGAGTTATTGTAATCAATGTGAATATCATGTTTTTTCAGATCTGTTCTGAGCCTATAGTGTTTGCTTTGTGAACATGTGTATTGTATATATTCTGTATAGTTACATTGTACTGAAATATTAGCTTGTTTGATATAAGGAAAGTATGTATTGAGTACCTTTTGCTAGCCTGGTTGTTTAATCATTTTTTAAAAAGTTTAAACTTTTTTTTAAAAAAAAATCTTCAAGTTGGCCTTTCTTATATGGTCACAAATAAAGTTGCAGTTAGAAGGGATGGACAGGGAAAAACTTTAGTTTTGAGTGTCTTTGAATAGAAACATAAAAGCTTAAAATTGGGGTGTTTTTCCTCATTAAAATGTCTCATTAATGCTTTACTGAGAAAAACTTCCTGCTGTTATTTGTTGTTGGCTGGAAGAATTTGGTTGAGGTCAAGCAGGTAAAGTCATCAGAATAATGCATTAATTTAAATACCCTTCCATTTAGTAGAAAGTATTAGTACATTAGTACTTTCCTGGACAAGCAAGAAATGAGCTAAAGGTGAAAAGATCCTGCAAACACCATTCAAAAGATTGAAAGGGATATAAAATAGCTAGTTGGAGAAAGTTATGAAATCCTAGAGCTACTGAGGTGACCAGATTCTTGGGCAGAGCTACTTCCTGAGATGTGTTGCCTCTTTAGAAGCTGCTCTGAATGTTCCTGAAGTTACATTTTATTGATTAGAGAGCTGTTGATGACATTTCAATATCTTACAAACAGGGAGGAGAGTTAGGTATTTGTCAGAGGAAAGCAGCTAATCGCATAAGTAATGCATCTGAAGGAGTTAAAGGAAGGGCTTTCCAATGCATGTTCATCTTGAAGTGGATATTGCCACCACAGGTCTGCAGAATGAGTTCATCGGGCAAAGAAAAAAATATTTCTTGACTCAACCTACCAGAATCACTTTAGAATTAAGTTCAGAATGGGAAAGGATAATTTTTTTAAAAAAACATTCTTACTTTCCCTGAGTGTATGAGTGTTTAACAACAGTATACCAAATCTTTCAAGGTCAGAAAACTGTTGGGTTCTTTAGTAGTCCCAGCGACCAATTATATATTGAGTAGATAATGCAGTTTAATATAGTTATATCCTTTGCATTTGAATATGTGCCGGGGGTCAGGGGCAGATATCCTTTTAGAGAATGATGCTTAATAACCAAAGATGTATATGTCCTCAGCTGGTAAACATTTGAGCAATCTCTTAAATGGTATTCTTTGTTCAAAGTACTAAAATGAGAAAAATAACAAAATAAAATCTACAACCATACCAAGAGTTGAAGTGGGTGAACAATGCTCATAAACATCAAATCCGAAAGTTTATTGTGATTCATTTTTCATGTGGGTAAACTCAACAGTTATACCCTGTGAGGTAAATTTACAAGACCATGTAAGGAGAAGCAGTTTGGTGGGGCTAAACAAGATCTGCTAAGAATAGATAGGAGGGAACCTGTGAGATGGAAGTGAGGATTGAGGGATGGAATTTCTAGAGGAGATGAAAAGATTGATCATATTCAATGTCAAAATTCCTCATCAACAAACCAATTTAGAGCTGAAGTTTAAACTGTGCTGGGCACAAAGGGAAAGCTAGCTTGTTTTCTTCAACTTGTTTACTTGAGTTTCTCTACATTTGATACACTTGAAACATCTACCCATTTTACAGATAAGTAAAAAGGGCACTACATACACTGTCAGCAGAGTTGGCATTACAGTCACTCTGCAGGACTTTCGCACCTAATCCACATCCTTGTATTGCCCAGTTTTTCCACAGCTAATATTTCTGACTGCCTTTAACTGGAGGTCATTTAAACCAATCTTGAAAAGTTAGTATTAACAGTACATGCTCCTAATAAAGAGAATTGCCTCTGGTGATTTTTTTTATCCGCTGGGCAAGTTGCTTTAGAAAGTAAGAAGTAAAAATTCAAAACTCTGTCATTTTAATTAGAGACTGAGGTGTAACAACTTTGGTTATAACTTTTGCCCAGGAACAGAATTCTTTATTGAATACAAATGAGTTTACCTACAAGATAAATAAAAGTGTTGGCACTTTTTGTGATTTAATCATCAAACACCCAGTAAAATAAGCAAGGAAAGTAGTAAGAAGTGTTTGGTCCATATCCATGGCCCCTGCCTGCCCTTTATCAAAGAATATTTAATTCAGTCCATTCTGAAATCTGCAGGCCATTAACAGGCTGCAACCTCAAGGTCTCGAGTTAGTCATCTTCATCTGTGCTCTCTAAAGACCGTAATTAGAAGAGAGACCTGGAACTTTCACCCTGCCAGTTCTAGCACCTTGCTGCTCTGGGGCATTGGCATTTTATGAGACCCTTGAGGGAGGATAATACTGGTGACAAATGTGAACTAAATTGTCTAGATGAGGCATTTTATGCCTTTTTTTTTCCCCCAGGACCTAGTTCTTTTAGAGGAGAATCTATTAGACTGTGAAAGAATTGCATATTACCTTGTTTTGAAGATGCAGACTGGTCAGTTTTTACTTTGTGTTCTTAGTTAATGCCCCCACTGAATAATGTCCACTCGTGTTGATGGCATTTTTTAATCATATTTCCCACCCTTAGCTAATTTGAGCCATTGTTTCTGACCTAATTAACATAAAGAACCCCCTTCTCTCCTTACTCCCACCTCACACCCATCTACTCCCACCTCACACCCATCTACTCCCACCTCACACCCATCTCTACTTGAGATGCAAGATTCCCTCCTCTTCCTCATAGGATTTGTTCAGCTCCACCAAAAGACTGCTTTATTCTACTGACTCATAAGTCTGCCTTGTGGGAAATTTGTGGGAGTTGAGTGATAATTTAGTGCTTGCTTAGAATAGCACCTAGTTTTTAGTGACCACTTTATAACTCATCTATTACTAGTGTGTCTTCCTCACCTGACTGAATTCTTAATGGCAGAGACCTATTTGTGTATCCCATGTAGTACCTGGCACATAGAACTAAAAAATTTTGAGTTAAGTGAATGTTTCCAAGATGTGGTCGTAAGTTCAAATTATCAGAAAGCTAAAAGGTAGTTATCGGGGAACTTTAGGAAGATACCTAGAATCATTTTCATCATGTCATCTGATAATTTGATTCAATTCGTATCACCCTATGTATCAGAATCTTACTCATTTTTAAATGAAAGTCTGACTTCAAGGGATTATGAATATTAACTTTAAATGAATCCTCAGAACAACTGCCAATCAGCCTGGCCAGAATTTCCCAAAATTGTTCTCTACACACTGGGGCCTGCACTTAACTGCCTTCATCTGGTTTACTCACCCATCAGACTCACACCTAGGTACTTCATAATCTGTCCCAGCGCCTCCCATACTACCTATCATGTTTGCATAACAGCCTGCACTTTTATTACAAACATAATTGATAAGTCAATGGACAGGACGCCATTAGATATCCGAAGTCCCATTGGGACAGGAACTGTATCCACCCCACCAAGTGTCTGGGCCAAGGTTGGTTGAATGAAGTCTTTGACCTTAAGGAGCTTATGGTTTCTGAAGTAAAGAATTATAGAAATAGATGCAATATAGAAATAACTGGAATTTGAAAATTTGAAGGACAGAAACAACTTGCTGGTGGTGGGGGGGGGGGAGGCCAGTGTCAGGAAAGCATCCGAAAAGAGGCTCTTGAAAAGAGGCCTATGGATCTGTACAGGAAGAAATAGAGAAATTCCAGGAAGCAGCACCCAGCCTAAGACTATGTCCAGGGAATGAATGTTCAATTGGCCAGGTACAGGATCCCTGAAGGGAAAGTAGGCTGGGACCAGAGAAGGCCTTGGAATGTATACTGAATTATACAGGAAACTGCACCATCACAAGTGCAGAGGAATAACAGGCAGAATTCTCTCTAGAAAGATTAAGAATTTAGAGGGAAGGCATCAAGATTTAATGAGATCACTTTGTGGGGGTGGGCGCACAAGAAGGTAATGGGAGTAGTGTTGGAAGTTAAGTTCAAGGCTGGTGGGAGGGGCTGGGTCTCACCTCTGAGCAGTTGGACTTAACTGCTTCCAGGGCAGACACTACAACTAATTTGACTGCATCAAAAATCTCATAAAACATCATAGTCTAGAGAAAAACAGAAGGAATTAGTTAAAAGTTCTGAGCCTGGTTCCGGAGTTGAGCTCAGAGTTAGGCTGTAGAGTGTTTTTTTCTCCTTTGCAAATGGCAAAACAAAACCAAAAAACACAAATTGGGTGGCCCTTTCCAGCAGAATTCAGCTTCTAAGCCATGTTGGTGAGGTTGAAAATTCCAAAAACATTTCTAACATCCTAAGTCTGCTGACAATAGTTCCTTTAATTTTTCTCCTGTAAGCAGTCTCCCACACCAGGCACTGTCCTAGGCATTGCAAAGATAGCATCACACAGAGCAACAGGAATCTTGCCCTCATGGAGTTAGGTTCTTGACTGGGGGAAAAGGCTCAAGAAAATGGGAGTGACCAGCAAAACATAGGGTAAGTGTGGGTTAGCCAGCAGGCAAGGGACCTTCGGGGCTAGGACATGCAAGTGGAGGTCCAAAGGGTGCTGCAGGCAGAGGGCCAGACACCCCAGGACAAGGGGTGCCCACCTGCTTGTTAAACAGCAGGGGCAACAGGGCCCCTCCCAGACAGACTTTGTTCTTAGGCCTCTGGGAAGAAGCCAAAGCCAAAGCAGAACAGGCAATGCCAGAGGGATTTAAAAAGTGAAACAGAAACAGCATGGAGGAGTTTGTTTCCAGGCCTACTGTATGTCTTCCTGGACAGATTCAGGAAGCCTGCCCCCCACAAGCTTAAGTAGGTGGCTTCTCTGTTCTCAGGTTCATCGTTAGAAACAGTGTAAAGATTAGGCACCATCAGCACTTAACAGGTCTTCGTCTTTTAACATAGCTGAACTCATTCTCCCTATCCAAATTTTTGGCTTCTGAGTTTAAGGTGCCATATGCTCTAGGTGTCAGGTGCTGGGGGACATCCCGTGCTAATGAGGGGGCTGGGAGGTGGGGTATTCCACATCTGCTTCCTCTCACACCCCAGAAATGCCCAGGCAGCAGCCATATTCCGTAGGCACACTTCCATTTGCCTTATTGGCTCAATGTGGCTTTTTTTTTTTTTTGTGCATACAGGCCAGAGGCTCAGGGGCGGTGAGAGGCTTCACCAGAGACAGAGAGGGGAACAGAACAGGCAGATTGACGAAGTACACTGCTGAGGGGAGCAGCGGGTGGGCCAGGAGAGGTCTGCCACACCATGTGGTCACCTCCGGGGGCAGGGGGGAATCGAACTCATGCGGAGGCGGCTTTAGATTCTCAATGTTGTGCTTTAACCCGCTGCGCCACCAGGGAGGGCCCTCAACGTGGCTTTTTAAAGATACTCTCTTCCCTAAGAACTTCCTGATGGAGAGATTTATAAATGCCTTTGAGGAGGAAGTGCCTTTTAAAGGGATGCAGTAAGGAGGAGATTTAAATGTGCATAACTGTGCATATGCATGGAAAAACTAAACACTGATCCATTCAGTAGTAGCTGAGATAGACTTGTGGGTAATTTCTACCCAGAGCTGGGCCCCCACAGTGTCCAAGACCTTTCACATACAAATGTGTGACAAGCTTGAGAATTCAAATCTGTTAGATGTGGCACCATTTTCCAGGAAGTCCTAGGAGAAAGACTAAGAGTAGCTTTGGGGAAAAATTAGTTTTAACTTTGCCTTGCTCATTTTACGTGTACCCAAAACACAAGTCTGTATACACATACCTATTCCATATTCACCTCTTGGTGAAGATTAGGGACAACTAGAAAGTTCTCAGAGCGTGTATTTCTAGCCCAAGCACCCCCCGACATTAGAGCACTACTAGTAACCATCAGGCACACGCCCCCACCGCTGCCACCAGACCACCTGCAAGGGGCTACAGAGCACTAAGCCTTCACCCCTGAAGCACATGGGGCCAGAAACCCTTTCATTCCCATGAAAACCAGAGTCGGCCTGAGCCTGCCATTCCTGTTCTCACACTTCTGTCCTGCGCTCAGCACCTACCACCAGGCCAGAGCCAAAGATTCTTCCCTCTCATTTGCCCAGTTGCAGGCACTGGGTGTGGGAGGTCTTTCCCAACTTGCTGATTCTCTTCCCACCTGACCCTTTGACACAGTCCTTGACTGAGCCCAACTCTTAAATGCAGCAATAGATTTTCCAGTTTTCCTTCAACCATGAGGTGTAGGATGGGTGTGAGCAGAGCCAAGAGCAAAGGGAAAACGGAGCAGCTGAGTTTGCCCAGCACCCTCCCAG